ATTTTGTGGAATCACTGTCAATTGTTTTAAAAGGCTAAGCTATTAGATAAAGGCATGGTATATTATTTAAATATTCTAACACTCCCTCTCACACGTAAGCTGGACTTTGGCCTAAGCCAAGCGTGGAAATATGTAATTAGGGAGGCAAATAGAGGACTGGAAGATTTGAACTTGTGACCTATTTGCTGTGACACCATGTTAGATTTCGTGGGACTACTATCAACTGTACTAAAAGCTTGAGCCGTTAGATAAAGACATGGTTTATTATTTAAATATTCTAACAAGATGACAATACTTTTTTCGCCTCAAAATTCGTGTGCATTGCATGAGCTAACGAAAAGCACATATTATCCATTTTTCCCTTTTTTTCCATTTACATTGTCCCTGAAAAGCACATTATCTCCAATTTTAGAATTCTTGATTTGTTTCAATTTCAAGTTAATGTGTGGGTAATATGTAACAATTGAAAGTTTTGGGGCAAACATGTACTACCGCGAAAGTTCTGGGGTGTTGTGTAATTTCCCCTATTTCTTAAAATAGGAAGAATTACAATCCATTGAACTTTCAACCAAGAAATTTTGCTATAATGGTTACTAGCATGCTCATCATGACCAAGACGATTTGTTTCCCTTTTTTTCCATTTACATTGTCCCTGAAAAGCACATTATCTTCAATTTTAGGTTTGTTGATTTGTTTCAATTTCAAGTTAATGTGTCATGGTTAAAATGTCAGTTTTTTCCTTAAACATTTTGGCCCGACTCCTTCTTCCTGGATCCATTACAGGCTGGTTCTCCAACTTATTAGCCAGAATCATTTCAATAATGCACAATTTTGTAATATGTGGGTGAACTAACAATGTCAATTGGCAGAATTAAGAATTTGACTACTGCATTTTAAATTTTGTATTTCGCTGCTTTCGTATATGTTATGTCGTCATATCTCTGTTATTGCCTGGTGCTGTCGTTATGCTTCGACTTTTATTGTGATAGCAACTTCCGTAATGTTTATTCAGCTGTAAAAGGGATCTTTACATCCTTCTGTGGATATATGTTCAGGTGTATGGCCTGTCATGGGTAGTGTTGGCTGTGCTTATACTTCTGTTCAAGGTATGGTCGTGGTGTAAACCTCGCAATGCAAGGTAATTGTTTCATGTGCACGTCGCATTTCTGTTTTCCTAATGATAGTTTGCATCTCCGTTGCCTCAGGTTTTCACTTTCAGCCAGAAAGTATCGGTCAATTTTCAGCTTTTGTTGCGCTTCATCCAGGGACTCTCTTTCTTGATGGCACTGGCTGGTTTAGCAGTTGCTGTTGCACGCACAAGCCTAACAGTTCGCGATATATTTGCTTGCATATTGGCCTTTGTGCCCACAGGATGGGGAATTATCTCTGTGAGTTTCTATTCTCGGTTTTTATTTGGTCTAGTCTTCTATCGTCCCATGCGTTTCATAGAATAGGAGGAAATTGGAGACCGTCCATATCTGGAGGTCATTATTTGGCATAATAGTGAGCCCCAGTCATTGCTGTTGAAGATTTTCAGTAGGTAAAATTGACATCTTGATTGTGGAGTTGCTGATAGCAGCTTATTCTATAATCGTGGGTGGCAGAAATAGCTTTTAGAGAACAATGTTCTCTACCTCCACCTCCACCTCCACCTCCGCCTCCACCTCCACTGACAATGAGTTGAGGGCACTACCATTATAAAGACAGAATCACATACGAATGACTCTAAGGAAGTTTAATGTTGGCAAACAGGCAGGAGCGGCACGGCATGGTGCCACCTGTTCTCTGTAGCGGGCCATCCCAGCCCAGCATGGTTGCTTTGACTTGTTTTTGTCCTTTGGCCCTTTGAGCCTTTTTAACTCTCTTTTTTTGGGGCAAAGGGCCAAAAGCCCCTTTGGACCCACATACTGTAGCTCATAGGGGTGAGCAACCAGGCCAAAACCTGTGTTCTGGACTTAATTAGGCCTTACCTGACCGATTCCAGGCCGATTTATGGAATAACTAGTCGGTTCTCCATTCTGAAACCCTGGAATTAGCCTTTGACCGGTTTGGTCTTGGTTCTTTTGTCAGAGCTGGCTCACAACCAGTCTTATGTACTTTATTTGAGATGCAACTAGGAAAAAATGGAACTCATGATCTACAGCTTGAAGTGGGCGCACAAGACTCTCAAATTACAAGACTTTACTAGTCATAGGTTACAGAAATATTATAATATCAACTCTTTGTTTTTTACAAACATACCCCAGTTCCGGGGTTACGTGGGGAACCGGTCTGAAACCGGCCGGTTCGGTTCTAGATTCCAATCTTTCGGAACCTTGGCCCTATAGAATAAGTTCCAGATTCCGGGGTTGGAAATAGTCCATCTTGAAACCGATCACCCCTAGTAGCCCAACAACTAATTTTTTAGGGCTAAATGAGCTATTGGGAGCCCTGAAAAAATTGTGGGCTGTGCCATGCCTGGCATGGCCTGGCACTGTAGTGTGCTGGGCCGTCATAGGGCAGGTTCTGCGCAGGACTGGCCCATTGGCCAGCAGTAAAGGGAATTTCTGGTGGAAGTGATGCAAAGCAATACTAGCTGATGACTTAAGAAAAGCTACTTGCTATTCGAGTGATGTAGATACCTCTATGGGATGGGTTGATGTTAGCCGTTCCTCTCTGGCAGATGATATTCGAGATGTTAGGTTAAATTGTTCCGACATTTGGGTTGTGCGTCATTTCTCAATTTTTCTTTTGCCCAACTGCGTCATCTCTCTCGTTAATTTTTGCTTTTCTGATAAATTATTTGTGATGGTTCTGGACATGTTTCATGTGGAAGCAAGATGAGAAAGTTCATGCCTATGCCATTGGCTCTTTCATTTCGAAAGGAGGCCCTTCCTTGCATATTTCTCATTGTTTTGTTATGGTGCCGACACTTTTTCGCTGTTTCATTTACATGTGAGCACTGATATTTGTTGAATGCCCTGCAGATAGCGGCAGCTTGGAAGCCTTTGATGAAGAGGCTGGGACTTTGGAAATCCATCCGTTCACTTGCCCGTCTATATGACGCTGGAATGGGGATGGTCATTTTAATACCCATCGCGTTGTTTTCCTGGTTTCCATTTGTGTCGACCTTCCAAACTCGCCTTATGTTCAACCAAGCTTTCAGCCGCGGGCTCGAAATTTCTCTCATCCTTGCTGGCAACAACCCCAATACTGGGATATGAAGGTGATCAACAACGCCTCGCAAGGTCTTTCTTTTTTGTTGTGTATCAGGTCCTGATTTTGTCACGAGCGATGGCTTTAGTTTCCGGATAACGTACTGATTTGGAACCCTCCTGTAACTACGCCGCCAATTGCACATTTAGAGCAAGTTCAGTAGTAATATATTGTGAAGACATGTTCATCACAGCTACTTTTAAATTGCGAGTGCTCTCTGCATGAAGAGTTGTCCCGTAGTTTGAAAATGAGACTTCTTTTGCATCTTTCGGTTAATTCAAAGAGCGTCTTTTGCATCTTTCGGTTAATCCAAAGAGCATCGTTTCAGCTCAGAGAGAGAGCATCGTTTCAGCTTAGAGAGAGAGAGAGAGAGAGAGAGAGAGAGAGAGAGAGAGAGAGAGAGATCTATTGACATAAAAATGAAGGGAAATAACAACAAAAAATCTCAAGCTATGTTTACCGTCATATATTTACTTTGAACTTTTTCTCATGACGTAAAAGACCCTAAACTCGTACTTATGTTACATATTTAGCCTCTGTCAAGATTTTGTTAGATGATTTTTCACTTAAAATAATGACGTTTTATTTCGCTTAAACCACGTGACTGTCATGTCAATACTGTTTGATTTCTTACGTCTATATAAATAAATTTATAATCACCCTAATTGATAGAATTTGACGGAGGGTAAATGTGTAATTTTTTGTGTCGCAAAAAAAAAGTTTACGATAAATGGATCACAGTGGCTATAGTTTAAGGTTTTTTTATGCTTTTACCAGAAAAAACAAACATCACATTCAACAAAACAGAGCAATCTGCGGAAGAATGTGGAAATCAGGACTCTCATGGCTATGATAACGTATTGACAACACCACACGCCTTTGCCTGGCCAAACATCAGATTCTTGCTGTGGCGGCTAACATCGGCCACCCAAAATTCTTACGATAAATTCATTCTTTGGTCCATTTAAATTTGATTATGAACAAGTGTGTTCCATAAGATTGTTACTAAAATGGGTGTCAGTCTTTGATTAAGGTAGAAGCAAGTTGATTCTCAGCGTACCGTGACTTGGGATGCAATTGCAAAATAAACTTTTGTTGCTCCCTTTAGCCTCTTTTTTCTCCTCGGATCCCACCCTCAATCAAATTATTCAGTAAATCCGTTTCAGGTGGAATTATGTTAACGGGTAACGGGGCGAGTCGTGATCCGGTATATTGAAATTGGATCAGGGAAAGCGGTTCACGGAATGTACCGATGACCCATAAAAGTTTAATCGCATGATTTTGCATCTAATTTTAATAAGATTACATGTATATTGCGCCTTCGCTTATATTACGATAAATTCGAATAATTAGCTAATTACCCAAAAAAATGTAAATATTTATATAACAGGGTTGGCATGTTTAAAAGAAATTGGACAACTTACACAACAAGTATTAGAACCAAGAAAAATAAAAATAAAAAGCTTTCACAACAAGTAGTCTTATTATTATTTTTTTGGTCGAAAAGTAGTCCGCACCAAACATTACTCCAAAAAAGGGGAAATACACGCCCTCGGATCCCCTCCCCCCCCCCCCCCCCCCCCCCACGGGAATCAAGCGGACCTTGATGCGACGCGTGTCCCGCTCCTCGGCCGTCGGATCGCAACCCCTTCGACACCGCGAACCGCCAAATCCCGACTCGCTGTTCCTATAAATACCGAGGCCCCCACTCCACCCTCGCCGTCGCCCTCGCGCCTCCACCGCACAAAGCGTTCGCCGACGAAAACAACAACTCGTTTCGAATCCGATTCTCTCTCTTTCTCTCTTTCTCTCTCTCTCTCTCGCTCGCTCGCTCGCGATTAACGAACAAAAATCAAACCTTTTAAGTTCCCTCTCAATCGGTTTCGAGGATTAGCATCGGGGAAGGAAGGAAGGAAGAGTGGGGGGAGGGCGCGATTTCTAGGGTTTCGGCGTTCGAAATTAACGGCTAATTCGATCGGTTGACAAGACGGAGCGAGGTCCCGATCCCCGCGATTTTAGCTTTTGGTCCGGCGGACGGGGCCGGAGACGATGAACGATCAGTCCCAGCTGATCAATCAAGCCCCGCCGATGGCGAATCAGGGCCCGATGTTCGGCGGCCAGCAGCAGCAGCCGCCGCCGCCGATGCCGATGAGCCAGCCTCAGCTGATGGGTGCGTCCAAGGCGATGAGCCTGCCCCAGATTAGGACCGCGAGCCAGCCTCAGATGTTGTTGGGGCAGCGCCAGTCCCCGGCGTTCGGTCTGCCGATGTTGAGCAGGGGCTACAAGCCGTGGCCGCCTCCGCAGCTGCTGCAGCAGCAGCTTGGGATGGATCCGAGCGCCAAGTTCCGCGGCGGCTTGAAGCCCGGGTTCGGGGCTATGAAGCAGCAAGGTAGGGGTAATTGGAAGGGCAAGAAGCCGAACGACAAGCGCGTGGACTTGAGGAAAGCCCCTAATCCCTCGGTTAACGCCGTCATGGCTGGTGCGGTTGGCGCTGGGAGTTATCAGCCCCCGAGCCTTAACGAGTTACAGTCCCAGAATCACTTGAAAGCTCGGAAGTTTTACCCGAAGAAGAAGTTTAATAATAGGTTCGCCCCTTATGCGCCGAGGAACACTTCGTCGTATATCATGCGGGCGAAGAAGTCCGGAGGGATTGCGTCCTTGGTGTCCCCGAGCCCGGTCACGCCGGCGGTGCTGCCGACGCCGAGGTTCTCACCGACTACGGAAGTTTTAGGGGACATGGCGAAGGAGGAGTGGGGTGTGGATGGGTATGGGTCGATGAAGGGTTTGATTAGGCTCCGTAACGAGGCAGGGTTTAGGGAACACGAGGAGGAGGAGGAGGGGGAGGATCACGAGGAAGATGATAACGATGGGTCCAGCGAGAGTGATGTGGAGGAGGAGAAGAATAGCGTCCTCAGTAGGTTGGATCATGAGACGAGCCGGTTCGAGATGGTGTACCCCAATTATGGAGGTGATTACAACAATATCTTGGAGAACAGGGTAGATGATCAGGATGCTCACATTGCACAGCTGGAGGAAGAGAATTTGACGCTGAAAGAGAGGCTTTTCTTGATGGAGAGGGAGTTGGGAGATTTAAGGAAGAGGTTGCAGCTCTTGGAAAGGCAGAATCAAGGGATGGATTATGTCAATGAGGAGGTAGTTGAGAATGTATCTGAAAATGACAGTGGAGGAGGATCTGATATCCACGGAATGGAATGTGAAAGCAAGGAAGAGGTGATGGAATATGGGGTTGGCAACGTGGGAGGTACAAACATTGACGCTGGCAATGACTCTAGGAGGGAAAATAACGATTTGGCAATTAGTGAGGGTGGGAGGGATATCTCTATGGATGAGTATGCCCGGAAACGAGTGATGCCAGAAGAAGGCCATTTAAAGGGTGGGGAGATGCAGAATGAGAATATGCCTATTGAAGCAAGTACCGAACAGGATGAGTTAAAGAACACTGGGCAAGTTCGTGACTTGGCCACAGCTGAAGTGGATGTGAAGAAGCTTGACATCGAAGATGAGGATGTTGGAACTGTCCATTCTGAGAAGAGCATTGGCGATGGTGACTGATCTCGTCCCTCGTTAATGTAAGTCTCTTGCATGAACAGTTCTTGGTTTTAGAAGACTAATCATGTGGTTGATACCTGACGCAGTCGCTTGCCTTTCGGTTATATCGTCTAAACGGAGTTTAGTTTAGGAAAATCTTCTGTTATATGTTTTTCTTCTTTTTCTTTTTTTAGGGCAAAATAAGGAATAAAGCTTCTTTTTTTTGTCCTCTGTTCTCTTAAGCATGGCATCTGTAAGTTTAGTTGTTAGGGTTCCCTTTAATTCAGAGTGGGTTTGTCTCCTCTACATACACTGTAGTTGGCATATGCGTGCCTTTTATGTGGATACATAGTTGTGAATATTATGAATGGAAAATTTGGTAGTACTTTTAATTTTGTGTGTGGCATGTTTTATATATATATTTTTTATTATCGTGTCGATGAAGCATTTGCCAACTGAAGATTTATATGTTTCGTTTATACATGATTTCTCTGTGAATTGACTAGCTTCCCCTTATTTACTCCGGGGTTATGGAACTCCTGTCCTTTGGGAACCTGAAACTTATGACCAATTGAGGGCTCCATGGAGGATGAGAAGTTGGCAATGGGTTAGGCCACCTTTCAAAAGATCTGTCTATTCTATCTGATTAGCGTAATTCTCTTTGGCTAGTCAACCTATGGGGAAGCTTTTCTGTGCAGATTTGTGCTTGAGATCATCATTATGTTCTCCATGGGGATTCTCTTATGTTGTCTTTTTTTGTTGGAGACTTATTTCAGTATTGAAGTGACCGGTAAGACACTGGAGATAAAGATGTGAAGGGCAGTCAAGAGATGCTTCTTTACAGGCATTTTAAATCTCTCTCTCTCTGAAACCTTTCCAATGCAGTTGGAATGGTCCAACAGGGTAATTTTTGCGTTAGAAGTGGAAATAAAATGTTAATACTGATCTCTTAAAATGGAATGGTAAGATGTCATCTCTCTAAAGATTTTTAATTCATCTTAAAATTACCTGGATGTCTTCTGCATGAAAAAAGATACTTGAGTGTCTTCAGAAGATGTGCAGACTTCATGCAGCATCATGTTGATGCACGAAAATGAAGTTTTTCTGGTGTTTAATAGGTGTATAGACATTGAAGTTTACTCTTCTAGTGAGCAAAATTATATTTGTGATATTAGCCTTATGAAGTTTTCTGCAGATTTATAATACCTAGTAAAGAAACTAACACGTCCTAATTACACTGTAGCCCCTATATTTGATCACAGAATTTAGCAGCCGGAGCTGCTTTTTGTTGTTTTATGTTAGTATTTCATGCTTGTCAAAACAGGTGCTTCAAGGATTATTCTTTTAGAAGATCTGTCGGTGATTTAGCCAATGTAAGTTGTTTTTTAAGTTCATATGATTTCTATCCTTTGAAGTTAGTTAATTTCTATGAAGTTGTTTCTTTGGATTCCCCTTCTCTATGTAAGGTACTCTTAGGATTGTGAGTTGAAAAATTTCTAATGTGATAACTTATTGTTTGAGACATGCTCCTGGAGTCAAAACTATGAGGGGCAAAATATTGGTGTGTCATTGACTTCATAGGTGTTCAGTAGCTTACATTGGTTGATGTGAAAAAACTGTAACTATAGCTGTTCAGTAGCTTAAGTTGGTTGATGTGTACCCCATTTCATTGTTTGCTCTGTGACCATGACTGAAGAAAATGGTATTCTCAAGTGACTATTTATCACCGTCATCATATGTTTCCTTGTAAAGTTTAAATCTCGAGTGATGGCACCTGGAAGTGTGAAATGTCGATGTACTTGATACCATCTCCCTCCCTTCCATTTGAGATTTTCTTTATAAATTCTGCTGTGGAGCTTAGTTGCGGGTTTCAAATATGGGGACATTTGTTCGCAGGGTGTCGCATTGTCATCTTTGTCAACTTACCATAGGAGTGTTTGTCAAACACCTTGCTGGGAGGGTTAATTTATTTGATGTAGCGGTTATTTGATATCCATTGGCCTGGACCTACAATCCAACTGACCTGTTCCTGGCCACTTCGTACTTCTCCATTTTAACAGTATCATCCAAGTAATCGGCATTTGGATGAGGAGGTCTCGTGAAGATTACATCCTTGTGATCAGACCTGGGAACCGTGATAACTTGTTTCTTTGGCAGTCGCAATCAGCATGAGGGGCATGTGCCTTTCTGGATATATTTAGGATATTATGTAATTTTGCATATTATGTACTCGACATTTTATTACTTGAGATGGTCGTCATGTAAAGACTAAAAATAGGTTCGTGTACTCTTCACTTGATGAACGAACAAACATAAACAAATTTCAAATTCTCTGTTTTGCTTTACTCTTAAATGGAGGAAGAACCGTTGGAGCCCCATGATGATGATGAACCTTTTTCCTTTTCTCTTGTATAGCATCCTTTTTCTCCATCCCACGTTATGGTGATTTTCTTTTTCTTCTTGGGTGTTGGAATTCGGACATGTTTTCTCTCCTCATCTAGATATAGGCTACTGCGCAAGTACATTATGTCTTGCACAACCTTAAACGAGGGCGACGTGTTTGAAGAAATGCTAGGGTGGATAGACAACAACCAAAGCCGACAACACCATGGAGGAACGAGGCCCGTACCCTATTCGACTAGGGAGCAAGGAGTGATCGTCGAGACGAGGATTCGGACAAATAGCGATTCTCGATGGGCTTTTAGGAAAAATGGCTTGTGCCACACATTGAATAGCGGGGTATTGCTGGACCATACGGGCAGTACCGACGAGAACGTCGTGCGGGGGAGCTCATGACATCTCAAAGCGAGACATTGGATAGAAGGGAGCGATTCGAAGATGAACATCCATGTCCGAACGATCATCACATTATGTGGTCACTCAAAGTATCATTTTCTAAAGCGGATCAGACGGGTTAGAACGGGGAAAATTGTCCAAAAAGTCCTAAATCCTATTACATTTTTGTTAATTCAGTTTTAAATCTTTCAACTTTGCCAATTAAGTCCTAAACCTTTTCATTTCTTGTCCTTTTTTTTTTTTCCTTTTCTCTGTGTTTTGAAGTTAGGGCCGGCGAGGGTGGTCGGTCGACCCTCGCCGGCCAAAGCGAGGGCGTGCGAGCCCTCGCCTAAATTCGGCGAGGGTCGTGACGTGCTCACCAGATTTGGCTAGGCGAGGGCTTGGCGGCCCTCACCCAGATCTGGCGAGGGTCGCAAAGCCCTCACCAGATCTAGCTAGGCGAGGGCTTGGCGGACCTCGCCGGCCCCAAGCGAGAATTTCAAAACCCAGAAAAAACAGAGAAAAGGAAAAAAAAATCATAAAAAAATCATAAATTATTAAAAAATTATTTTAAAAGTGTCCACGTCAACGCCACGTGGCCGTCCGGCATCCGCGTTAGTGATTTCCAGTCAGATGGACTCAATTGGCAAGAAATGAAAATGTTTATGACTCAATTGGCAAAGTTAAAATGTGTTTGACTGAATCGGCAAAAGTGTAATAAGTTTAGGACTTTTTGGATAATTTTCCCATTAGAATGAACAGCGCTATGGACATAAAACCAATCGAGGAATGAAAAGACACAGAAATTGGCAAAAAAGAGAGGAAGGTTGCTTTTATTAGATAAAGATGGGCAAAGGTTTCGGAGAATGGCATAAAAAACAGTGGATAAGATATAGCTGTTTGCCCGATCGAACGCCATAACTCACCCGCTATCAAGTGGACCAACTTGTTAGATATATTGTATATATTCGGTTATATTATATACCTTAGGGTTGTATGTATTTACGCTTATACCTTCATTGTATCTATATATTGGCATGTTGTCTTCATCTCGCTGACTTTGCGATCTGTTCTCTAAATTAGCAACACAAGTGTACGTATCGAACAAGTAATAAAGTGATGAATTAAAGTATCGTTCCCACAGAGATTATAGACAAATCAATCAAATTACTTACTAAAGGTGAACAATTCTCAACTTTATCTAACCAATTGAAGATTTAATAAAACAATCAAAATTCCAAAGAAAACTAAATTAACCTATTAAGATTGAAATTTCCGAAAGCTAAATTAACCAAGGTAGCAAACCAAAATTGAAAATAGAAATTCACAAACTAAATCTAGAAATTTCGAACATAAAGAAGCAAGAAGCAAAGGACTTTGATCAAGAATTGAAAACGTTAGAGTATCCGATTTCACTTAACCAATCAAAATTAATTAACCAAGCTCGTCATGCAATCAAATTGAAATCATAGTGTGACGGTAGAACTTCCTAATTTAAATTACTATCCTTGGTCCGGTATAGCAAACCTACTTAGATTTAGCAACCCACACTTGGTCCATGTGAATTTAAGTAAATCTAAGTGCATTAAAATCGATGAATGCTTCCGGATTCAATAAACCACCCTCGATTTACTTACTACCGAAACCACACAAACAACTTAGTATATTTCTATCTTAGTTAAATTCATGGCTATATATCATAAAGCACTCGCATAGAATCTCCTTTCGGTTTCATCATGAAATAAAAATCATTCAAGTGGTGATCAAGCACTTAAAAGCATTAAGAACATGATATATAACTCACACATACAAGATCTAGAATTGCATCAACAAGTCTTGAAAATTAATCAATCATAGTTAAGTTACATCGTAGCTCTAACAACAAGTAGTCTAGAACATAATGAATATTAAACTAAAAACAATAACTAAACTAAACATGATGAAGAACTAGAACAGATTCACCAAGAATAATCAAATGCTTGATTTTTAAATCGCCTCCTTCTTCTTCTTCATCTTTTTCTCTCTTTTGAAATCACGTTTTATACCTCCTCTTACTTTCCAAGAAACCTTAATCACAATAGGATTGCAATTAAAGGTTCTTCCAAATTACGACTCTTCTCAATAATAAAACTCCTTTTTTTAGCTTGGACTTTGATTTTCTTCCCAAAATAGGCTTGATTCTTCTTGATTTCAGATTTGCATAGCTTTGATCTCCAATTTGGAAAGCTTCTACACGATTTAGGAACAATTAGATTGTTTTGGATACTTTCACGCAGCTTAAGAGGACAAAACGCGTGGAAAGCCGGCAAATTACAGAATTAGTTCCTAAGCTTCCTTTAACTTCAATTACCTACAAAAATTAATTAAAATAAATAAAGTAGGTGTTGACACCTAAATTTTGGAGACCAATTAGTCATTCATTGCATAAAAATTAGGATCAATCCCGGTCCCTAGAAAAAAATTAATTAGTTAAATTGCCAATAGATATTAGGAGCATTTGCATTATAATTAGGCCTATATAATTGCATTTACACTAGACCGGCGGTGGGTGGACTTGAGTGAATGATTATGAGTTTAAAGGGACTAAGCCCGCGGTGGATAAAAATCACGTGCATCAAGTCAAGAAAATCTGATTATCAAGATTTAGCTATCCCATGATAGATAAAAAATCAGGGATAATCTTTGGGGTATATGTGCGTACGTGGTGGATTTTGAGAAAATTCGGTCATCATGGGAGCAAGAAAATTGACCGGCATTGAATAAAGAGGAAAGAATTGATGCATGATTCTCTGGCCATATTCACAAAATATTGGCAAAATAATAAAGAAAGGGAAGGAGAAAAAGTGAATCTCATGTTATTGGGAAGGGATAAAAGAATATATTTCTTTTCCTTGTCCAAAGTTTGGTATCCTGGCCTATATAAAGGAGAGTGAGGCCATGCAGCGGGGGGGTCTGATCACACACGAGAAACACAGGAAGAAGAGACAAGAGAGAAGAGAGAGAAGATTTATCTTCTTCCTCGGGCGTGTGTTTCTACGATCATGACCGAGAGCTCCACGACCGGCATTTGTTTCTTGCTTGCTCTCGGTCCTCTCGTGGTTGCTCTTCCGCTCATCTTGCGTCATTCAACTAAGTCGGTGGCGGTCCGTGAAGAAGTTGTCGCTGCTGTACCCACCTTCGACGACGACAAGAAGGAGGAGCCGCTTCAACCTTTGGCCCTCGATGTCCCTCGCATGTGCTAAACCGACGAGTCACGTTGTCGAAGTTCCTGTCCGTGACGATTGCCACGACCTACTTCTGTCTTGGCCCGGTGACGTGGCTCCTACTTTTTCCGACGAGGATTCGCTGTCCACGAGCTGTTTCGCCCTCACTTGATGCTGTCCTTGCCGCGAGCCCAACCGAGCCGAACTTCTACGTTTGGTTCGGTCTTCTCGATTTTGCGGGTTCACCCAAGGCTGGCTTATTGTTGACGGAGTCAACATACTACGTCCAGGCAAAGTCCAACTTGGTGATACCTCTGCCGAATTGCTCATCATTGTTTGCCTCTTCACCGCGAGCCCTCCGCCGCCACAGGGAGTCTGCGAATCACCATCGAGACGAGCCGCTTGTGATCCATCACCAGTCCGATCTGCCACCGTCCGTTGATCCCGAGACATTCAAACTTGGAAAGGAAATATTCGAATTAGGTAAAAAGCTCATTTAATTTGACTTTCGAGTATATTGTTTCCTTGTTTACAATATTACAATTTTGTGTGAATCTTTGAGTGATACTGCCATATCCATGAAATTCCCGAGTAGCTTTAAATTAGGAATTATTTCCTAATTTCACAACGTGCATGTGATCGACAGTCCGATTTCATGCCCGAAATATGACTCGCGATCGCACGGAAAATCGTCAATCCGATCTCTCGCCCGAGATACGATTCGCGGTTGCGCAAAGAATTGGCCAATCCGATCCTCATGCCCGAGATATGATTTGTCAATTTATTTTCCAAATTTAAATGGATATGGATGATATCTTGGGTGATTGAATGCTATTTTTGATTTTGGCTTGATCTTTGGTTTGATTTGATTCGATTCTCTGTTTAAAAATCCCAAAAGATTAGATAGTATCAAGGTAAATTTTTCTAGATAGATTGCATGCTAGGTTAGGGTTTATCTAGTAAGGATAACATTCCGATTTAAATTAGGATTTTGGCCTAGTTTAATTCCTAAAATGAATTGGATAATATCTTGCACTAGATAATGAATTTTCATCATTTTATAATTTCGAATTTCAATGAAAAATACAAAAAGGTATCATGCGCATGTCATATAGATTAATTGCATCATGCTTGCATTATCACGCCATGTCATTGCTACGTGCCACGTTGCGTGTCTTCTTGCTACGTCATTCACATATGCTATGTCGCATGTCATCTTATCACGTCATTCATACCTTGCCATGTATCATTGCACGCATGTCATTAGAAATTGCATGTCTAGGTTCATTTGTGTGCCATATTAGAATAATCCATTTAAAGGTAATTGTATGTCGTGTGTCATGTTAGACTAGCATTATGCATTGCATATAGTTTAGTTTTTTCATTAAATAAGCGAAAACTCCAAAAATATCGTGTGATTTGCGTGTTAATTAGAAATCATATTAGGATTGTATGCAGTGTGATTTTTACTAACAATGCAGATGCTTGCGTGGCTTTAAGGTATGTTATCCTGCTATTTATTTACTTGCTTTCTTGGGTGTTACTTTGGTGGTTTGCGCACCGCATGATCACCTCACATGCTAGTGATCGAGTTAAAATGAATCAAGTATGCTGCAAAACATTTTTGAAAAGAAAAGGTACCGAAAGGGCGTTAGACTAGATCTAGCGTAACCAAGTCTCCGAGCTTAGAATCTCTGGTTCGTAGGAATAAAACATATCTCCCTATGTTTTATTTAGGTTTCTAATCGACCTACCATAAATAGATTAGTGGCGACTCCAAGTACGAAAACTTTTGCATGTTAAAAACTTAACCCTAAGTTGCGAATTGGTAGGGCTTGGGAGGGCCCGAGTTAGGCTTAGTCTTAATAATCCATTAGCTGAGAGAAATTTTAGGTGCGCGAAGCTTGGCGACTCATGGGGACTTGAGTTAAAACTCTTAGTGGACTTAGGCCAGTTTTTCTTTTCAAAAAAAATATTTTGTTTGGCAGCGAGGATCCCAAGTACGTCCCTAACATTTTAGGTGTTAAATGTTTTTGCAGAATGGGAGGTATAAGGGGTGGAGTGTTTGTTAACCATTTTCTTGCAGGGAGGTGTTGAGATTGGATGTTTTAATTTTGATATTGAAGCGCTGTTTGCATATGATACATTGTGCATGCTGTGCATTTTCACTACACTCTAGCACACACAACTGTCGCCGGACTGGGCCGCATAGGATCACCTAGGATGGTATTGAGATGGATACCACTCCGACCGTCCGCCCGCGGTACGAGTTGCCCATCTCAATCACGATATTTCTTTCTTGATGTCAAAGAGATTACCACCCCGGTCCGCATGCCCGCGACATGGGTCGGCTCTTTGATGATGCCGGAGTTACGAGGACCCGACTTAGTCCGCATGCCCGCGGCTAGTCCGATCATCCCCGTGGCTCCACTTTGTTAAGCCTTCTAGAGTAGAAATCGAGCCACGTAGCATGCGTATGTCTATGTGATTGCCATCCGGTTATTGGTAAAGTAAGTCCTTTGAGCTTTTTCTTCGCAATTTATTTACTTTATCGTATTGTTTTGTCGGTCCATGACATTAGGTTGATCGCAAGTCTTGGTCAATATACAATGGGAAATTCCGACATTCGACTTATTCTTCCTCCCAAGAAGGAACTCAACGCGTGGTGGGACAAGCTAGACCGAGCTGGTCGTGAGTTCGTGGAATTAACAATTGGCCGACTCCTCCCTCTGTTGCGTATCAACATTCATGGCGGCCTCATTCAAGCACTTGCCCATTGTTGGTGTCCAGAGACGACTACTTTCATCTTCGGTAAGCATGAGCTCACTCCGACCTTGGAAGAATATAGCATTGCCATTGGAAAACCTTTGGAATTAGAATTAATTAGTCCACCTATTGGAATAAATCCTGTCTCGATTTTATCTGATTTTCTGAGAATCAAGGAAGAAAAGATAAGAAAAATTTTAAAAGGTCACCGCAATACTTGCCCATTTTCATTTCTTGATGAATGTTTTCAAAATGGCACTTCATTTCAAATGAGAAGGATTTTCCTACTAGCTTTCTTTGGGTTTATACTTTTCCCTCACTGCAAGAATGCTATTAATCCTTTGATTGCTAAGTTAGTGGGACAAGTGTGTGGGGGAATGAACTTTGTTAATGCCCTCCTGGCAGAAACTTTTCTTTCCCTTTCTCGATTTAAAGAAAATGGAGACAAAATCTTTCGTGCTTCTCCTGAACTTTTGCAAATTTGGTTCTTATCCCACTTAAAAGGGTTTGGTGGTCTAATGATTATACGTGAAGTTAGCAACTCTGATCACCCTATCATGAGATTTGAGAATAAACAAAAACATGCACCGGATTATCATTATTCCAATTGGCTGGTTTTCTTTAAAAATCCAAAGTCCAAATGTTTCCTATGGCATGCTAAATGGTTCCAAGTTCGTGAGGCCAGACTCACATGTGGACGTGTTGGCCCAATCCCTTTACTGGGATTCACTGGGGCAATGGAATATTACCCAACTAGGGTGACTCGCCAGTATCAAGTGGTGCAAAGAGCTTCCCAGACTTTGAAGCAAGCTGATTCAATTCGAGTCAACTTCAAGACGGAGACCTCGACCATGAGGATAACATTTCTTTAATCAAGTCGCTGTGGGATATGTGCCATCCACAAATGCTCATATGGCCCGAAAAAGAATTAGAGGGTAAAGAAAGAAAGTACTATGCTACGGCTGAATACATTCGACGACACAAGATTCGGATAATTTACTCCCGAAGATACCAATGGTGCCGAGAAGATCACCAACCGTCTTTGAGAAAAGATGTCTCAAGAGAAAAGCTGAGAAGTTACAAGAGCAAGTTACACACTTGGCCAAGGAGAATAAGCGATTACGTTTGGAAATCACATCCCAATTGTATATTGATCAAGCCAAATGAAATGGCTCGTGTCTTTTAAGATATTTTTCTTTCTAGATTCGTTGTTTAGGAATTGAGTCATTTGTTTTTGCATTTAAGTGATTTTCAAGTTATAGTCGTTGTAAAAAAATTTTCGTCATTTCAATAAAGAGGTCATTTTTAATCAAAGCGGTTAGACCGATGTCATGGATCGGCATGTGATTCTTCTTGACACTTATGTATGCCTGTTTTATCCGTGAAATTAGGTAATTACGGACCGATCACGATCGCCTATTCGTACACGGTCAAGAACTAGAATGGCCGATCAAACTGACTTACGAGATCGTGTCATTGGCATTGAGGACCAAATGAAGCAAGTCCTCATTGCAATGCAACAGATGTCTGCCGAGATTAAAGCCTTTCGACTGACTCCCATTCCTGCATCCCCTGAGGCATCAGCCCCAAAGCAGAAAGGTGGAAAGAATGCCGATAGTGAGGAAGATGACGATCTTCCTGATTTAGTAGATGACCCCGTCCAGATTATCGTCAATAAGGACAAACCTAATGAGCGGGTCAACAAGCTTGAAGAGAGAGTGAAGCAAGTGGAAGGCTCACATGATTCACCCTCAATTGACTTATCTCTTTACTCACGAGATCAAAATCCCGAAGAAGTTCAAGATGCGATTTTGACAAGTACAATGGCACCTCTGCCCAAAGGCCCACTGCGGCTATATCACGTACAAATGACCCGTACGTTGAAAATGAACTCGATGATTCATGCATTTCAAGCAAGTCGACGGGTCCGCCTTGAATTGGTATCTCATGAAGAAGATAAATGGCTTCAAAACCTGGAAGGAAGTTAGTGAAGCATTTCTAAAGCGTACGGGTTCATAACGGACATCATTCCCACCCGCGATGACCTCGAGCGTGCTCGGATGAAAAGAGCCGAGTCGTTCAAAGATTATGCTATCAGATGGAGAAATATAGCCGCTCAGGTTATCCCGGAACCTATAGACAGTGAATTGAAGAGGATGTTCATTAAAACGCTCCCGTTTGAGTACCGTAATCGGATGGTAGCCACTCCGGTGACAACTTCAATCAACTCATCCCCATGGCGAACAGATTGAGATAGGTGAAAGATGGGTGGTTTGTGGAGCCATCTTCCTCGACCAAAAGATTTGGTGCAAGGAAGGAGAAGGAACCGGCACTTGAAGTGAATGCGACTTATACCCAAACGGGCCGACGGAATGCTAACCTTGTCCCAGCAATCCAAGTAGCAGAAACTCAACAACATAGCACGGGTCGTCAACCCTCTCAGAGGAGGAACAACAAGAGGCAATTCACCCCCCTCCCCGGGTCGTTGTCTCAAGTACTGGTGGTCCTCCGGAAGAAAGGTTTGCTTACCACTGAGCCAAAGCGGCCCAACCCCGAGCAGTTCTATAACTACGATCCGTCCAAGAAATGTGATTATCATATGGGTGAAGTGGGGCATTCAACTAATGATTGTATCACTCTCAAGCATCGGATCGAACTTGCTTGACACAAAGGCATTTTCCTTTCAACCCACTAAGCCGAATGTTCAGAGCAACCCGCTTCCTGATCATGCGGGCAATGTGAATGCCATATTTAGTTTTGATGCTGGTCGAATCAAGAATGTCAAGATGTATACCACCGACGTCTACGGTAAGTTGGTGAAAGCCGGTTATTACCCGAGTAATGAGGTCCTTCCCTGGGCTATCATGAAGAAAAGAATCTCTGAAATGGTAGAAGCCGGAATGATTGTCTATGCCAATCACTGCGGCATCGTCTCCACAATCTCCGAAGTGGTTATTAATTGGGACGAGGAGTTTGCTACATTGAACACGGGAAGGACAAGCTCGACCCTCGCTGAAGACATGCCTCCGCTTGAAGACGCGTGCGGTGATGAAGAGATCGTAGTAAGCATGCCTACAAGCGATGAAGGAATAGTGATCGAGATACCTCAACCGTATGAGTACAGTGATAATAAGGCAGTCCCTTGGTCCTACAATCTCGATGTCGACTTGGTTACCAGATCTGGGCGTACCTATGGCCAAGCTAATGCCCAACCTGCAAAACACATTTCGATGAAGAAGCCAAGGAGTTTCTAGGCGTGATTAAGGCTAGCGAATACAACATAGTTGAACAATTGCGCAAGATGCCCGCACAAATCTCTCGCTTGAACTACTCCGGACATCATCAAGCATCGAAGGCCTTAATGAAGGTGTTAAGTGAAGTCCACGTGCCGAGACGATCGATCATGACAAATTGGAGGAATTTGTAGGTTCTATACTCCTCAAGGACCTCATAGCCTTTTCGGATGAAGAGTTCCCTCGGAAGGGAGGGGCATACCAAGGCACTTTACATTTCTGTCAAATACAAGGCCTCGCATGTAGCCGGGTACTCATTGACAACGGATCAGCCTTGAACATTTGTCCTTTGGCGACTTTACACCGCCTCAAGATAGATCCTTCTAGGATAAATTCTGCGAAGACCTCGTGCGAGCCTTTGACGGAACAAAGAAAGAAGTGATGGGAGAGATCCACCTTGATATACAAATAGGACCAACAATGTTCAACATCCTATTTCAAGTTATGGACATTCCCACTTGCATTCAATTTTTCTTTGGGTCGTCCATGGATTCATCTTGCTGGGTGTGCCATCCAGTTTACATCGGAAGGTGAAGTTCGTTGTGGAGAGAAAGTTAGTCACGGTCCACGGTGAAGAAGAGCATCCAATTTACCATGCAACGGCTATCCCCTATGTTGAGCCGGATTGCAAAATAGAATCGAGCTATCGATCGCTCGAGCTTGTATCAACCATACATGCGTCAAGAGGATCATCACCGCCCATACCCGAGGTGTCAAATCTTTGCGATCATGGTTGGCGAGTAATGGTGTCCCATGGCTTTACTCGGTGAAGGCCTTGGTAGGAATGGTCAAGGTATCCGCCAACCGGTGAAAGTCTCTCGGAGGCCCCACACTACTGGGTTGGGGTACCAGGGGTCAAGCGAGCCAAATAATGGGGGATGTGGACGTGGACGTGGACGTGGTCGAGGTCGAGGTCGAGGAGATGGGCAGAATAGACAGCGGTCCGAAGAAGAGCCGAATGTTGAAGAACGTGGGCGTGGAATTACCCAAAATAACGGAGAGCTTGGGCGTGGTAGGTTGCTTCCACACATCCGCGCCACATTCCCAGGCCCTGCAAGAATGATGCATGAAGAGAAGGAGGTGATCGACACTTTGGGGCAACCGAGCGGCAAGTTCGATTATTATGTGAAATACTCGGCGCCCCCGAGCTTCTATGTTGACCCCGTGACATAGTCCGGATGGATGGGGAGGTATGGATGATCCAACACCTCTAATGACGGAAGATCCCGATGATGCAATGGATGGAATCACTGCCTTGTTCGATGATTTCTTCATTGGAGCTATCGAGGAAGGATCATTGGAGAGAATGGGCACTGGCCCGCAAGAGTAACACCTTTACTTTTTTCGCACACTCCCCTGCGTGGGAATTTTTACTGCTTTCTAGGACTTGCCCCGTCTCGGGAGCTGCTTTTCAGGACTTTTCATTTCTAGGACTTGATTGTTACAATTTCCATTCCAATAAATGTAATTCATTTGGTGATAATCAATGAAATTACAAGTTATTTTCATTTTTGAGGGCATGTTGAGGTACATCAAACCAGCCCGGTGATGATATCCAACCGATAAAAATATAGTCCAAGGAGAATTCGAGGCTGGGCTTCTTCATGCTTCCTCGTGTTAAAACTTTTTGAAAAGAATTTCGAAAAAAAAAAATCAAAAGAAATAAAAATACACTTTGTTTAGCCTGTTTGTCCTTCGAACCCCTACTTTATGTTTCGGGGCAATCTTGTGACACGTGAGGTATGGAAACGGTCCAATCGATGAATTATGTGCCACCGAACCGATCTCGATGACATCAATGAACTCGAAGATTCCTCGGACCTTCAGCGCGATCTAGAGCATCATGAAAGACCTAAAGTCCTCACGGTAGACCAAACTATCACTGTCAACCTGAGTGATTCCGGAGAACCCAAAGAGGTGAAGATAGGGGCAACCCTTCCCGAAGGTGAATCGAAACGCTTGGTCCAAGCTCTGAAAGATTACCGGGATATCTTTGCCTGGTCGTATACCGATATGCCAGGTTTAGACCCTTCTATTGTGGAGCATAGTCTACCTACTAATCCGGACATGCCGCCCAAGAAACGAAGCTGCGAAGAACCAAACTGAACTTTCGAAGAAGATAGAGGAGGAGGTCATGAAACTTTTGAAAGTAGGGTTTATTGAAGTCACCCGATACCCGGTTGGGTGGCCAACATCGTGCCGATCATGAAGAAAGATGGCCGAGTTCGGGTTTGCATCGACTATCGCGATCTAAACAAGGCCAGCCCTAAAGACGATTTCCCATTGCCACATATAGACGTTTTGGTGGACAGTACTGCTGGGTTCGAGCTGTTTTCCTTCATGGATGGTTTCTCGGGTTATAATCAGATAAAAATGAAAGACGATGATAAGGAGAAAACAGCGTTCATCACTCCATGGGGAACATTCCACTATAAGGTCATGCCCTTCGGCCTTAAAAATGCCGGGGCAACATATCAACGGGCAATGGTGACACTTTTCCATGATATGATGCATAAGGAAATCGAGGTCTATATCGATGACATGATCGCGAAGTCTCAGTCCGGGAAGAGTCACGTCGA